ACACCAATATCATCAGTAGCAGTAGCAGCATCATCATCACCAGCATCAGCATCATCAGCATCAACATCATCAGCATCATCAGCCTCATCATCATCATCATCAGCAGCAGCAGCAGCAGTAGCATCCTCATCCTCATCCTAATCATCACCATCACCATCACCATCGTCAGCATCATCAGCATCATCATCAGATCATCATCATCATCATCATCATCATCATCATCATCATCATCATCATCATCAGCATCATCATCATCATCAGCATCAGCATCATCATCATCAGCATCAGCATCAGCATCAGCATCATCATCATCATCATCATCATCATCATCATCATCATCATCAGCATCATCATCGTCATCGTCATCATCATCATCGTCATCATCACCAGCATCACCACTACCATCATAAACATCATACTCTCCATGCTCATCATCATCTCAGCCAGCATCGCCATCATCCTCAACAGCAGCAGCAACAACAACAGCAGCATCACCCCTCACCATCACCACCACCACCACCGCCACCACCATCATCATCATTAGCAGCATCGTCATCAGCATCATCATCAGCAGCAGTACCATCATCATCATCACCATCATCATCAACCCTCACTATCATCATCACCATAATTATCTTCATTATCATCATCATCGTTATCGTATCCGTATGTTCCTCCACCTCCTTCATATAATCATCCGCCGCATCCTCCCCCATATGCCTGTTCTAAATCAATTTCCTCCTCCTCATCCTCAGATTCGTCTCCCTTCACACTCCTCCTGACACTCCTCCCAGTCATGATGCGCAGGGCGCGCAGGTGGAGGAGCGCCAGCACCATGGGGGTTTCGGTGTCTCACGGTACTCTACGCCGAGCTGCGGGTTTCAGCCACCTGTAGGGCCGAGCAGCGTCATGCGGAGCAGGAATCAGAGAGCACTCAGTGGGCATTGAAAACTGTGCAGCTTGCCCTATATCAAGCTGTTGCGTGAGCGTGAGGGGCGATCCCTCTTGCCTTGCAGTGACTTCCTCAGCGATGTTGCCTAGATAGAGGCTGAACGCGCGAGGTCAAAGGAAGGGCACTGGACAGGGAGGCCGAGTCTGCGACGAAGGATGGGGCAAGGAGGGACGACGGCTCGAGGACGACACACGAGGTGGGCGAGGCGGGGGCACTTCAGGCAATGTGAAATTCTACTGGGGCAATCGTAGCCAAACGCGCAGCTCCAGGAAAGTCCTGTAACATGCTCGTTTCTAACCCCAGCGGACTGGTGGTAACGAGCAGGAGATGGCAGTCGATGACAGCACGCCCAGCAGTGCAACTGATTGAAACCTGCAGAAGAAGAACCAGGATGAGGTGGAGGACGAAGAGCAAGAGGCGAGCTCGAGCGACAGCATTCGGTATCGCACAGAATGGCGACAGAAAGTTCTTGCAACACATGTTCGGCTGGTGGTAGTCTGACCCGCGCAGTCGTTTCGAGGCACGGTCCACGCAGAGACGGAGGGGCCAGCAGCAGGACCTCCCGCACCAGGCCCCATCGGCGCTCGCGGCCTGCGGCGGGGGCGGGACACTCGAACCACGACCGCAGGCGACGCCCAATTCTTGCCATCGCTTGGACGTCCACTCCCCGTGCATGTGTCGCTGTCGTGCGTGTTCTTTGGGGCTCGGTGAACACAGATGCTCCCCGATGGTCCTCGCCGAGAAAAAAATGCACACGTCCGAGCGATGCTAAGAATTGGGGACCCGTGGCGATCAGGATGCGCGAGGCCCGACGACGTGCGAATCCACAGGCCTTGCATTCCGGGCCGACGAACCCTCCGGGGCAGCCTCCCGCACGGTGCCGCGGGGGCACACGGCCTCTTGGCGCGGCAGAGGAGGTCAGCCCCAGAGGGGGGGACGCGACAGTGGCACGGCGGCTCCCAGCTGCCCACGGTGCTGCAGAATGACTTGATGCCGCTGCCAGGACGGGGCACACCACTCGCCTTGGACAGAAGCAGATGACCTGAGCACGCTGGATTGCGGATTGCGCACAGGGGAGGAGGAGGTGGAGGAGGAGGAGGACCAGTGTAAACCCAAGGCGCATCAACGATGTTGTAATAAACCCTCCCTCCCAATTCCCCTTTCATGTGCCTAGAAGAATCTGCTTTCACTGATGGACTTGCCCCGTTGGAAGACAACCGTCTGAGAATCCTCAAGCGTGCCAAAGCACCACCCTTTGGACTCCAACGCCGCGAGTCAACTTACGGTTGCGTCCTAGCGATCCTGCATCGCGCCAGAACACCGTTCCTGGGACCTCAACACCGCGAATCAACGTGACAGTTCGGCCCTGACAGTGCCAAATCGTGCCCGAACACCACTGCTGGGACGTTAACCCGTAGAACCTGGGGAACGGATGTAAATTACTGTGCGCGGCGCTAGGGCGAGAGCCACCGTTTGAAAAAGACCCGCCCACCGTCCTTGAGATTCTTGCTAAACCGTTAAAACGAATGTGCGCGGTGCTGAGACGAGAGCCACACACTGAATACCACCAGCCTTCCATCCGCGAAACTGGTCCAAACTTACGAATGTGCGCGGCGCTCAGGCGAAAACCAAATGTTGAAAAGGAACCACCATCCGTGAAGCTCCTGCAAAAATGTTGATCGAATGCGCGAGGCAGGGAAGCGACAGCCATCGTTTGAAGACCATCCGCCCTCAATCCGTGAAGCTATCGCAAAGTTTGAACACGAATATGCGCGGCGCAAAAGCGAGAGCCACACCTCTTATCATAATTACGAGAGCCACGTCTTTTATAACATATAAATATAGCATTACATCCGAGAAAACCCAAACAGTGGATGGTCTTAAAATTAGTAATATGGATATTGAGGTCGATTGTGAGATCGATGGTGAGGTCGATAGTGGAATCAGAGTAAGGACGACAATAAGGCCGATGGTGACACCGATAGTGAAGCCGATTCAGTGAAATCAATAGTGAGATCGATCGTGCGATCGCTCGTGAGATCTGTAATGAGACGGATGGTGAGATCGATGGTGAGATCGATTGTGAGATCGATCGTGAGATCGATTGAGAAGTGGGTAATGAAATCGGTAGTGAGACCGATCGATAAGGAAATCGACCAAGAATCAGAGAACCCGGAAACCCGGGAACCCCGCCGCCTACCAGAATCGGTCCGGAACCAGCTACCAGGAACACGGGAATCTGGAACGGGAACCCCAGGAACCCGGCCGCCCACCGAATTCGGCCGGGAACTTTCGCTAAATCTTCCAACATCCGCTAGGACCCCTTCAGTGCAAGCACTGATTGGGGAAACACGCCTTCCATTCGTAAACCTCTTGCAAAAAAATCAAAAGAATATGGGACGCGCTGATGCGAGAGCCACATTTTAAAATCCACGCGCACTCCATCCGCGAAGCTCTCGCAAGCTGTCAAGACGACTGCGCGCGGCGCCAAGGCGAGAGCCACATTCTGAAATGGTGCCCGCCCTCCACGCGCGATGATTCTGCGATGTTTTGAAATGAGTGTGCGCGGCGCTAGGGCGAGAGCCACAATTTGAAAATGAGCCGCCCTCCATCCATGAAAACCTTGCAAACTTTTGAAGCAAATGTGCGCGGCGCTAAGACGAGAGACACATGTTGACAAGGACCCGCCATCCATCGGTGAAACTGTTGCAACTGCTGAGCTTCAGAACTGTAAACCTCGAGGGAGTATCAGGCGAAACGCCTGGCCCGCCCTACCGAAACGTCTCGGAGTGCGACAGGGAGGAATTAGTTATAAGAAAAAGGAATGGGAGAAACGATGGGCAAAAGGAGGAACACTTAGGAGGAACAGGGTGAAGGAGGTGGGAGGAGAAGGAGGAGAAGAGGGAGGAAAAGAAGGAGGAGGAGCAGGAGGAGAAGGACGAGGACGAGAACGAGGGGGGGGAAGTGGAGGAGTCCGACAACCTGGCGAGCCTGGATCCGACACCAAGGCTAGCGATGTTTGACGCCAGTGCCCCCCGCTGTGAAACACGCTGCTCTGATCGAGAGGCCACTCGCGCCACAGGTGATACTCGAAGAGAAGGGGTGCTGCCCAGACCGCCCCCTGTCCCTTCCCATCATGCCCCTCTTCACATCCTCCCTCCTCACTATTATTCTGGCGCTCATCCTGCTCCACCGCATAATATTTCCTCCCCGTCGTCATAATCTTCCTCCTCCTGATCAGTTTGCTCCTCCTCACCCACTCAGCCACCCGCCACCCATCGCAACCATCACCAACAACATCGGCATAACAATGATGGTGCTAAAAGCAGTGGCAAACATGTTCCACGTCATCACCACCCGTCTTGGTTTCAGCATCCTCGTCTGGCTCCTGCTAGCCATCCTTCTCCAAATTACCCCTCCTCATCATCGTTGTCCCACCTACCTGCTCCATCATTACCATCATCATTAGCAGCATCATCAACGTCATCGTCATCGTCATGGTCATCATCACTATCACTATAAGCATCTTCATCATCGTCCACGTCCTCATCCTCATCCTCAACCTCGACCTTACCATCATCATCACCACCACCTGCCCTCATGCACCATCATCAGCAACGGCAACAACATCATCATCATCATCATCATCATCATCATCAACAACAACAGCAAACTCATCATACATCTTCCAGTTTCCCTAATCCCTCGTCACCCTCCTCATCCTCCTCCTTCTCCGCATCACCATGCTCAGCACCGCAGTCACCATCACCCTAGTCTTCGTCGTCATCCTCATCATCCTAATCACCAGCGTCGTCCCACTCGTCCTCGTCCTCTTCGTCTTTCTCCCTTCCTCCTCAAAACACACCCACATCGTCTCCATCGTCGCAGTACTCTCGTCATCACTGCCCACTCTGCCCCCACCCCCTCCCTATCTCGAAGAGGGCCCGATCGTCGTCGGCCGTGCACGAGCCTGCGCTCCGGTTCCTGTAGAAGGAGCTCCCGACGAGCTCCCGTGGTATGGGTACGCCGTCTTCCTGGTCGGCCCCGCCTGGTAGGCTTTCGGCGGGGGCGCGGGCCAAGTCCCATCGGCCATGCAACTCGTTTCCTCTTTCCGATCCTCCTGGTCATCCTCTCCTTTTTGCTCTGCTTATGAATATTCGGATGATTCATGATACGAGCCCTCCTCATATCAGTCAGGTTCTCATTATTATAACTACTCTTGCTATAACTCGTACACTTGTTCCTACTATCGGTATGTGTCTTGTTCGTAAGTTTAGCTCTATCCCTCTCGTCATGTTCTCTCTCTCTCTCTCTCTCTCTCTTGCTCTCTGGTTCCCTCTCCCTCTATTTGTACATACAAACATGTTTTTTTCTGATTTGTCCACAAGGCTTGGCGCCATGGTCCGCCCGTCATACATACGTACATATCAACAAGCATACATGCATACAGACAGAAAGGAATGCAAGAAAACAAATAAACAAACAGACACGCACGTCTACATGCATACATACATGCATACATGCATGCATGCATGCATGCATGCATGCATGCATACATACATACATACATACATACATACATACATACATGCATGCATGCATGCATACATACATACATATATACATAACTACGTACATATAGGCATGCATGCATGCATACGAACATACATGCATGCATTCATGCATATATACATACATGCATGCACGCATACATGCATACATGCATACATATACACGTACATACATACATACATACATACATACATACATACATACATACATACATACATACATACATACATACATATATACATACATACATACATACATACATGCATGCATGCATGCATACATACATACATACATGCATGCATGCATGCATACATACATACATACATACATCCATACATGTATACATACATACATACATACATACATACATGCATACATGCATGCATGCAGACAGACAGACAGACAGACAGACAGACAGACAGACAGACAGACAGACAGACAGACAGACAGACAGACAGACATGCATGCATGCATGCATGCATGCATGCATGCATACCCTCTCTGTCTCTCTCTCTCTCTGCCTCTCTCTGTCTCTCTCTCTGCCTCTCTGTCTGCTTGCTTGCCTGCCTGCCTGTCTGTCTGACCCCTCCACGGATGGCTATCACCACCCCGCCCACCCGAAAATCCCTGGGGCCCCCCTCGGATCCTGTCGAGCGCTCGGTCGGCCTTCCGAGCCTCCTAGATGCCCCTGCTGGGCCTAGACAACGAGCCCCGAGCAGTCAAGAGAACGCCAAAACGGCCAACCAAAAAGTCCGAGGCGGCTCCGGGCATTCCCGAGGCGCCCAAAGAAGGTCCACCTGAGACCTCCAGGAGGCTCCTGAGAGCAGGGTTGCTTCCTCTGAGCTGGTGCACGGATTCCGTACACGTGCACGCTCAGTCGGTCTCCCAGGCCTCCGGGACCGCCAAAGAAGCACCCAAGGTCGCCACAGCACGGCTTCCAGAGAGCGCACACTGCCCCAGGACTGCCAAACGGAGCCCCGAGAGAAACCAAGAGAGCGCCAAGACGGACCAAAGCGGCCCCAAGACGCCCCCCGGAGCACTCTCGGAGCACCCGCACGGGTTGACGATGGCCCCAAGATGGCCCCCAGGGCTCCGCGCCGGGTGGAGAACAGCAAGATGCCTGGAATCTTGGCTCCTCGAGGATGAAAAGAACTGTTCAGTTCTTTCTCCTCCTCCTCCTCCTCCTCCTCCTCCTCGTCGTCCTCCTCCTCCTCCTCCTCCTCCTCCTCCTCCTCCTCCTCCTCCTCCTCCTCCTCCTCCTCCTCCTCTCTCCTCCTCCTCCTCCAGGGCCTCCTCCTCCTCCTCCTCCTCCTCCTGGTCCTCCTCCTTCTCCTCCTCCACCTCCTCTCTCTCTCTCGCTCTCTCTCTCTCTCTCTCTCTCTCTGCAGGCGCGCCGCCGCAGAGCGCACGGCGCCAGCTCGTGAGACGGCAGTGCGCTAGGTCAGGCCCCTCCACCTGGCGGAGGAGGAGAGGACAACGGCGGAAAGACAATCGCCCCATCGAGAGCCCCATAGAGGGCCCCAAGGGGCTCCCCCTCCTCCTCTGGCGAAGACGACGACGACGACGATTCCTCCTACATCCTCCCTCCCTTGGGGTACGATGGCTTCCCCAGCCCGTTATTCCACTGCATGCTCCTACACATCCCTGATCAGGGCAATTCGCCTGGGCATCGCTTCTGGACGGGCTGCTGGGGTTATGCGAAGCGTCAATAATAAACGGTAAGGAACAATGAGGCGGGAGCTGTTGCTGTTGAATGGGAAGGGGGAACCTACCATGAGTATTCTTCGTTAGTTGAGAATCCATAACAGCAACAACAAACGCCCTTACTGAGGGAAGGAAGCGCACCGCTACCACCACCACAACCTGGAAGGTGAGGCAGAGAGGGCTCGTATAAGGGGGTCGACTGAAGAGTTGATTTACCCCAAACTTGAGTTATTCCGCGACTCTACAACAACAACAACAACAACAACAACAACAGCAACAACAACAACAACAACAACAACAACAATCATGGGGGACTCTTGTTCTATAGCGGGGTCCGTTATTCCCATTCCCAGATATCCCTCCCAATGAGGTCTTGCAAACACCTTGTCCGAGGAATTTCAACATATCCCGCCTCGAAAAACACATGCCCGCGCCTTGCTGCGCCGATGCGAGACCGCCAGTGGAACCCCAGCGAAGGGTAAAGCACAAGGAAGTATCGAACGACAGGATTGCCTTGGTGGAGATGGGGGCTGTCGGCGGTGAGGCAAGGACCTGGCCCTGAATAGAAAGGGAGGAAGTCTCTAGCAGGGCTGCTGTTGGTGCTGGGAGCGGCGCCAATGCTGAAGGGAGCAGGGCGCTAGTCCAGCGTAAATCAAAACGAAGTCTCGGGCGGGAACGCTGGTTTTGTTGGGACGGCGGCATTGGCGGCGAGGAGGAACACCGCCTTGAGTAAGAAAGGAGAAAGCATCGAGCGGGAGCCGTGGTTTTGTCGGGACGAGGGCTGTCGGCGGTGAGTAACAGCACCGTCCCGAGGAAAAAAATAATTCTCGAGCGGGAGCGCTGTTCCTGCTGGGAGCGGCGCCAATTCAAAAGAGAGTTGGGCGCCAATCCAGCGTAAAACGTAAGGAAATCTCGGGCGGGAGCGCTGGTCTTGTCGGGGCGGCGGTTTTCGGCGGCGAGGAGGAACACCGCCTTGAGTAAGAAGGGAGAAAGCATCGAGCGGGAGCCGTGGTTTGTCGGGACGGGGGCTGTCGGCGGCGAGGAGCAGCACCGACTTCAGGAAAAAGGGAGGACCCTTCGAGCGGGAGCGTTGTTCTTGCTGGGAGCGGCGCCAATTCAAAAAGAGAGTTGGGCGCCAGTCCAGCGTAAAACAGAAGGAGGTCTCGGGCGGGACCGCTGGTCTTGTCGGGGCGGCGGTTTTCGGCGGCGAGGGGGAGCACCGCCTTGAGTTAAAAAGGGAGTAAGCCTCGAGCGGGAGCGTTGTTTTTGCTGGGGGCGGCGCCGATGAGAGAAAGACTAGCGCACCAGTCCAAGGTAAAACGGGAGGAAGTCTCGAGCGGGAGCCCTGGTTTTGTTCGGACGGCGGCTTCCGGCGGCGAGCAAGAACACCAGCCCTGAGCAAAACAGGAGGAAGTCTCGTGCGGGAGCGTTGTTGTTTTTGGGGGGCCGGTTTTGGCGGGCCCCCAAACTGCTCGAGCGTGAGCCCCATGTTCAATGCAAATGTAGCCGGCGCCTCGGCGAGAGGGCCAGAGCGCCTATAAGGGGTCCAAAAACAATCATTGTTTTGTAATTAACATTCAACAACAACAACAACAACAACAACAACAACAACAACAACAACAACAACAACAACAACAACAACAATCATTTAAGACTGGGGACACTCCGTTCTCACCAGTGCCAGGGTTTTCATAGGAGGCGGGCAATACCCCCACTTTGTGGGGGGGCCGGTTCAAGCTCTACCAAATTTCCAAACGACTCTTCGCCACCACCCACACCCAGCTTCCCGCCCTATGACGTTCGGACACTTCACTTCGTGGCATGCGGACGACCGTGGCTACTATTCAGGGCCCCGCGGCCGACGACGACGGCGTGCGCGCGCGAAGAAAAAACGAATGTGTCCCGCATGGTATTATTTGACAGGGATGATGGCCCTGGCAGGTGCGCAACCGTTGTCGCAGAAGTTCGAAAAAGTTGCTCGCAAAAGCCCGTTTGACAGAAATGTTTAAAAAGTGTTGGGTTTCCTACGAATCCGCAAGAGCGCGCGGGATGAGATTTTGACATTTTTTTGTTGAAAAACCATTGGTTTTTTGATGTTTTTATGTTAAAATCGCTCCGAACACTAAGCTTTTGGAAGGATTTCGTCTTGCGCGCGCGAATGTCCACTTTACCTTATTTTTTGCAAGGGATTCTTGAAATTTGATTATATTAGAACAAGAAATGTCATTTTATAGTGTTTTTTGCAAGGGAAAGCGGGGGGGGAACAAAACAACCGGATCTTGATCACATCGAATTACCTGAGGCTTCCTCACGAAAATGATGAAAATGTAGCTGCGGCCTAGGCGGCGCAGGGGGGCCGTGCACCAGGGGTCCCAACAATAATTATTCTTTAGAATTAATAATGTTCAATTACTAGCACGGACACTCCGTTCTCACCAGTGCCAGGGTTTTCATAGGAGGCGGGCAATACCCCCACTTTGTGGGGGGGCCGGTTGAAGCTCTACCAAATTTCCAAACGACTCTTCGCCACCACCCACACCCAGCTTCCCGCCCTATGACGTTCGGACACTTCACTTCGTGGCATGCGGACGACCGTGGCTACTATTCAGGGCCCCGCGGCCGACGACGACGGCGTGCGCGCGCGAAGAAAAAACGAATGTGTCCCGCATGGTATTATTTGACAGGGATGATGGCCCTGGCAGGTGCGCAACCGTTGTCGCAGAAGTTCGAAAAAGTTGCTCGCAAAAGCCCGTTTGACAGAAATGTTTAAAA